GAAAGGTCACAGCTAGCAGGTGGCGTGTCTTTGCCCGCTACTGGCTGCCTGGCACCCTGGCTGCCTTGCCCTGGAATCCCTGCTGGCTGGCTGTCTGTCTGTCTGCCCTCTGAGTGCTCCCCAGCACAGGACAGTAAGCAAGTCTACCATGACCCTAGCCCAAGCACACGTGGGCACAGAATGGGCACCTGCTGGGTGAGGGAATGGCGAGGATGCATCACAAGGCCGTGCTGCAGGAAGGGGTTATTATTCTTTACTCTCGTCTTCCCCTGCCTGTGTTTATGAGCTCTGCCTCGCTGTGCCAGGGCTCCCAGGAGACGCTCCCTACAGGGAGGAGAGGCACACTCAGCTCACAGTTTCAGCGGTGCAGTGCGTGACCGCCGGGCCCCATCACCTTGCGCCTGTGGTGACAAAGGGCATCATGACAGGAGCAGGTGGCAGGGAGCTGCTCACCTCAAGGTGGCCGGAAGCAGAAGGATGAGAGATGGAACAGTTGTCCCCATATCATCGGGCAAGCTCCTGCTTCAGCCCTCCAACTAAGCCCCGCCCCTTAAAGGGCCCACCACCTCCCAATAGCACCCGGACCCAGACCCCAAATCTTTCTTTTTTTCCCTTTTCTATTCTTTCTTTCTTCCTTTCTTTTCTTTCTTTCTTTCTTTCTCCCAATAGCACCCGGACCCAGACCCCAAATCTTTCTTTTTTTCCCTTTTCTATTCTTTCTTTCTTCCTTTCTTTTCTTTCTTTCTTTCTTTCTTTCTTTCTTTCTTTCTTTCTTTCTTTCTTTCTTTCTTTCTTTCTTTCTTTCTTTCTTTTTCTTTCTTTCTTTCTTCCTTCCTTCCTTCCTTCCTTCCTTCCTTCCTTCCTTCCTTCCTTCTCCCTTTCTTTTTTTATACAGGGTCTTGCTATATAGTTTAGGCTGGATTTGAACCCACTACTCACTGTGTAGCCCGGGTTGGTCTTAAACTTGTGATCTTCCTGCCTTAGCCTCCCAAGTGCTGGAGTTACAGGCTTGTGCTGACTCATCTGACTGGACTAATCTTTTAACACAGCTTTTTGGGAGACAATTAAGGCCCAAGCCGTAGCGTTGTCTGTGGAGGACCACCTAGGTGACTGTCTCTGAAAGAGGAGCAATCGCCTTCATTTTGGCTGAGCCTGACCCTATGTCCTTGTATTGATATATACAGAGCTGGCTAGGACTTTTCCTTACCCCTTCAAATGGCTTTAAGCAATACATATCGGTCTAGCTGAGGTGCTGATGGTGATCTTTGGAGATGGCAGGCGTGTTTCCCGGTCCCCTTTGCTCATTCAAGTGAGCCAGGATGAGGCGGGATGTGTGAGCTAATGCTCCACACTGTAAGCTGGGATGGAGCCGTGGGAATAGAGACTGTGCCTTCCTGGGGCTTGCTTCAAAGATTACTCAGCAGAGCTGAAGCACTGACCCCAAAACATTAGACACTATCTCAACTGAGTCATGCAGATTACTCTTTCTGCATATCCTTCTCTCTGCATATGGCAGGGGTGATTTCAGGCCTCCTACCCGGCCCAGCTCATGGCACTCACGTATTTCCCACCACTCACAGCTACTCATCCTCAAGCCACTCCCTTCTTCACGAATGAATAAAAACTGGGTTCGGTCCTGGGTGGAGGCCTTTGTTCCCAATGGCCATCATCATGGCTGGATTTAGGACCCTCGGCTCCCCGTAACTACAAATATGCTTTAGTGTCTTTATTGTCACCATGGGTTGTACTGAAAGTGGTAGATTGGAATTGACTCACTAGAATTCCAATAACTTTTCACGGGATTACAAATGTAAACTTCTGGGCCATGAGGAGGACTGGGAAGGGCTCTCTATAGTTACCCTTGACTCCTTCTCAGTAAGTAAGACCATACTGATGCCTCTATTTCCCCTGAACAGTGAAAGATTTTGAGAACCTCTAGTCCCACTAAGGTTGGGAGCATGGGGTCACCACTCCCACCTGACAGTTTCATATGTGACTAAGAATGCGATCTTTAGGGTCACCGACTGGGTTTGAATCCCGACACTGCAGCTGGGTGCGGTGGCACACGCCTGTAATCCCAGCACTCAGGAGGCTGAGGCAGGAGGATGGCTGCAAGTTCGAGACCACCTTGGGCTACAAAGTGAGCTGAAGGCCAGCCTGAACTGCATAGCGAGAGCCTGTCTCAAAAAGACAAAAAAAAAAAAAAAGAATCCCGACACTGCTGTTGATGGCTGCGTGGCCTCGTGAGTGTCAAGTCCTCTCCTGCGGAAGGGAGTCCCCCGGTGACCATGCCGAGTGCGGGTGTCTCTGCCCCTCCCCCTCTTTGCTGCCGCTGGGTGTGAACCCGGGGCCTTGTGCACACCGTGCAGGCAGCTCTGCCACGGAGTCCCATCCCAGCCCCCTCTTATATTTAGTTTGAGACGGGTCTTGCTCAGTTACCCGTGCTGGCCTCCAACTCTTGGTCCTCCTGCCTCAGGTTCCCGAGGAGCGGGGACTCCACGCTGCGGCCGCACGGATCCAGCCGGTTGGAGACAATCTCTGCTTCTCTCCGCCGCTCTTGCTATTCAGTCCAGCCAGAGCGGCGGCCACCAGCGTGGGTCGACGCTGACCGGCTCCCTGCTGCGTGCTCAGCCTCCATGCCCAGGCTGCCGCCATCGGCTCGGAAGCAGGGGAAGCTGTGGGTTGCTGCACGGCGTCTCCCCCACCTAACCACGGGCGCGGGGCACGAAGCCTGGTGGAGGAACACCTGCCCACGAGGGGAGCAGCTGGTGGGCACGTCCTCCCTTCCTCCTCTCGGTCCGCGAGTCCCCGGGTGCGAGTTACACCCTCTCCTCCCTCCTCCTCCGCCGGCTTCGCCTTCATCTCCGTCTTCTTTCGTGGTGCGGGAGATGGAATCCAGGGACACAGGACAGCCAAGCACTCTAGTGGGGAGCTGCCCCTCCATCTGCCCTTTTTATTCAATCTGGGATCGTCTGCCAAAGTCTCCGGGAGTAGCTGGGACAGGAAGGGTGGTCTTGCGGGACACCGCGTTCCTTCTGCAGCACTGGTGGTGGCCATTTGGGTGACACTCCTGCTTCAATTCCTTGTCCGCTCTCCTGACATCGGCTCCCTAACAGCGTACTAAACTGAGGCCCTTTACTCTCTTTGATTTTTTTCTTTCTTTTTGGTCTTTTTTTTGAGACTGGGTCTCACTATGCAGTTCAGGCTGGCCTTGAGTTCACTTTGTAGCCCAGGCTGGTCTCGAACTCGCAATGATCTTCCTGCCTCAGCCTCCTGAGTCTTTACTCTCTTTGAGATCCAAGCTAAGACAAACACGACCTTCCTCTAAGGGTTTGTGAGAAGGGAAATAAGCTTTTTGGTTTTTTGAGACAGGGTTTCACTATAGTTCAGGCTGGCCTTGAACTCACTATGTAGCCCTGGCTGGCCTCATGCTTACAGTGATCCTCCTGCCTCAGCCTCCCGAGTGCTGGGATTACAGGTATGCACCACCACGCCCGGCTTGGGAAATAAGCTTAGCTTGCTGTTTACTTGCCTCTTCTTTTTCAGTACTGGGGTTTGAACCCAGGGCTGTTGCACAGAGCTACGTCCTCACTGCTTTATTTTTTTATTTTGAGAAAGGATCTCACTAAACTGCTAAATTATCGAGGCTGGGCTTGAGCTTGCATCCTCCTGCTTCAGCCTCCCAGAATGCTGGGATGACAGGCATGCGTCACCACACCTGGCTTTCTCACCTCTCCTCTTCCTCTCCTGTCACAGCCAACCAGCCCAGCCCAGCCCAGCCCGCTGACTACAGCCCTCTTTCTTCACTGCCAGCCCTGGCCCAGGCCACCACCAGCAACTGCCCTTGATGTCCTCAACCCAGCTGCCACTGCGTGGCAGTGCCCTTTCTAGCAGGCAACTTCACTGTGCCTCTGCTCCGCTATGAACCCTCCCATGTGCCCCCTGTGTCCCCCAAAACGAGGCCCAGCTCCTCACAGCCCTGGCTCTGCAGCTCCCCGGCTGGCCCAGTCCCCTCTGCCCCGTGGCAGCTGTCCCTCCCCCTGCCCCCAGGCGGAGGTGGCTGGGCTGCTCTCTACCTGCGGACACAGAGAGCAGGCAGAAACGGGCAGTCTTGCCCTTCCAGTTCATTAGTTTTGGTGGCGCTGGGGCTGAACCCCCCCGACCCCCCAGCTCTCCATGCTAGGTGAGTGCTGGACGGCTCAGCTGCGCCCCAGCCAGGAGCACACGGTGGAGGGGACGGTGCAGGGTGCAGCCCGGGGACCCACTGCCAGCTTCAACAGTGGTCTCCACAGCTGGTAGTCCTGTACCCGCACCCGCACCCGCACCACTCCTTCCTGCTCAACAGATCTTTGGTTTGGTTTGGTGGTTTGAGACAGCTTTAGCTGGACCGCTGGATGCGGTCTCCAGAGCTGTCCCTGCCTCCCCATGCGGAAGTCCCAGGTCCTTAGGGCATCAAGGGTGGATGCCCAGAGAGCAGCCTCCTTGCATCCAGCCCAGCTCAGCCCTGCGTGCAGCAAAGTTCTTTGTCTCAGTTGGCACAAAGAAATCTCCCAGCTGAATCCAGTCAACCCCAAGGTCATGAGCAATAACGCACATTTTTGTGACTTTATGTCATTACTTTTTGGGGTGATTTGTTATGCAACAGATAAATTAAGCCTGGCAAGCTGGCACACAACTGTAATCCTGGGACCCGGGAGGTTGGGGCAGGAGAATCTCCATGAGTTCGAGACCAGCCTGAGCTACATAGCAAATTCAAAACCACCTTGAACTACATACTGAGATCCTGACTCAAAAAAGCAAAATAAAACAGAAACAAAAACAAACAGCTGGGTGTGGTGGCTCGATACCTCAGATGCCTCAGGAGGCTGAGGCAGAAGGATCAGTGCGAGTTCGAGACCAGCCTGGGCTACAAAGTAAGCTCAAGGCCAGCCTGAATTGCACAGCGAGACCCTGTCTCAAAAAGACAAAAACAAACAAACAAAAAAACCCACAGATAAATCAATATATAAACAAACTTTCTCTGTAACTGTATGAGCTATAGAAAATATGTATAATATACACTGTTTTTGTTGTTATTTTTCTTTCTGAACCATTTGAGAGGAAGTGGGCAGAAATCATGACCCTAAATCTTTCAGTGTGTGTTGGTCTTGAGCCCAAAGTCCTTTCACAAAGCCAAGCACAGTATCGCTCAGGACACTTGACATTGTTACGACATTACCACGTGGCCAGTCCTCAGTCATTTTTGCCAGTGACCTAAATACCATGTTTCATAGGAGCTGTTTCAGTTTCAGGATCCAGTTAAGGGGAACACATGGCATTTAGTGGTTACAGTAGCTATAGATACTTGCATAGCAAGTGGCCCCTGAGATTGGTGCTCTCAGCCTCTGGGATCAGCAGTCCTGACCCAGTCACCAGTTCTGTAGCTCAGAGTCCCGCTTGAGGCTCCCCTGGGATTGCGGGCAGGGATCATCCAGGTACTGCACATGGCTGGACGTGGGGCCTCCATTCCTTCCTGGCTGTTGGCCAAAAGGCCTCCCCAGTTCCTTGGACATCAGCCCTTCCACAGGGGGGCTCGCAATTTGCCCACAGGGTTCATCAGAGCAAGCGAACTACAAAGAGTTGGAGAGGATTCCAGCAAGACAGAAGTCTCCGTCTTCTGTTGCCTCATCTCAGAATGACAGCCGGTCACGGAAATCTGCTGTCTGTCTCAGTCTCTTCTCATCTGGACTGGTTTCTAGGCCTGGTTTTGTCTTTCCTGGCTCTGGCGATGCAAAGCTACAGACCGGTTGTCCTGCAAGTGTCCCTCAGCTTGAATCATCCACTGTCTCCTACCGCCAGGTTCGGAGGGTGTTTTGGGGACAGGCGTCTTCGTGCTCAAGGTGGTGACCTCAGTGCATGCCATCTGGGGGGCCGTGTCCCATTGCCGGTGACATCCACGTGGACAGCTGGGTGCCATGGTGCTCTGCAGTTCTGCCTCTGTGCTGGAAAGTTCTTTCCATTTTTCAAACAGGATAAAAATATACGACCATTTCTTTTGGCTTAGCAAATATGGCAACAAGCTGGGTCTGAAGACTATTTCAGGATGAAAATTTCCAGGGTCCTGGCTTAGACCTTTACCCTCCGCCTCTGGTTGTACACACAATGCCCTCCTTGGGGCCCTGCCCTGCCTGTCCCACAGCCCCAGCCTGGAATGCAGCCTCCACCTCTGCCCCCTTTGCCACCGGCAGACCCGCAGCTCCTGGGAAGACCCGGGCAGCTAGTTCTGTCTGGTGTGCCCCTGCCGTCTCCTTTCTGGTCCCAACTGCTGAGAATGACAGAGGGGGCCAAGTACAGATGTCCGGGCTTCCCTTTCTTTTTTATTTTCCTACTTCTTCTTTACAGGAAATAAGCCCTATGCAGCCCTATCTTATTATGCAGCACTGTCTTAGTGGCCTGAATTAGCTCAGCATGATGTGTATAGGAAGTCCCCGGAGGAAAGTCCTGCCAGCTGGGATCAAAGATACTCTGGGACCTGACATTCGGTAGGCTTCCAAGGGCCGGGGAGTTCCTGCTCTGGTTCTGAGCCCTTCACAGCGCTCATTGGAACCCTCACCCTCAGAAGGGGCTTTGGCCCAGCTGGCTACCGTCCCAAGGCCAGGAGGTGACAGGGGTTCCCACTCGCCGGGCAGCCCCAAACAGAGGTGCCGGCCGTACCATAGGGTCTGAAGACAGCGCCAAGCAGTTTGGGCTTCAGCGGCCCGGATCTCGCATTCAGGGAGACCTGAACTGGCTGCCAGCACGGCCTTGGTAGGTGACCTGTGGCTGGCCAAGGAGAGGTGCTGCGGTCCCTGGAAACCTGGGGAGCCATTTCTCAGCTCCCCTACCCCAGGAGGGCGGGAAGATCCTCCCCGGGGCGGGGCGGCTGAGAACCCACACGGCCGGGGTCTTACTGTGGCGTGGGGACCTCCTGGGGGGCCCTGCGCACAGCAGTTCCCCGCACCTTCCTACCCGGGCCGGGCTCCTCCCAGCCCCCCAGGAGGGGTGCGGGTCGGGAACAAAGGCCCGCGGAGGCTCCCCCGGAGCGCGGCCCCCGGGGCGGAGCGGTCCCCCTCCCCCTCGCTCCTCCGCTTCGTCCCCGAGGTGCGCGTGGCGTTTCGGCCGGGGCATCGCCAACTTCGCTGAGGGCGCCCAAGTTGCCGAGCGTGCAGGGGTGGGAGCTGGGTGGGGTGAGGCGGGGAGGAGAAGCAGGAGAAGGGGGGCTCCCAGGCGCCTTGGACGCGGTTCAGGAATCCGCCGTCCCGCGGGCCGCTCGCCGGCTCGTCCACCGCGGGGAGGGCGCCGGCGAGGACCGATCGCCGAGCCGCGCAGGACGCC